CACTAACTGCTCATTCTGGCTCTTAGCACATGCCTTAAGGAATATCCACAAGGAGTAAATGTTCCCAATGACAGCTGAATTATCTGCATTGATCCATGACTCACAAAGCAATATCATAAAAGTATCGAAATCTTGATGAATTACAGCCAATCTTTGAGCTGATTGCCATCATGCAACACAATCATTCCTTAAATGATATTTTTATTCAAAATTTCAATTCGAAGTCATAGAAATAAATATTTTTGAATACTATCACAAAACATGTTGCTGTTGTGAATGTTAATTATTGCTTCAATGAATGAAGATGGATTATAAAACTTAGCGAGTGCAGGTTAGGTTGTCCATAGTTATGAAAGAAAATTAGCATTTTATAGAAATTGAATCAAAAAAGGAATCAGAATTCAAAGATCTTAACCGCATCTCCACCAAAAGCCGAAAATTTGAGTTATTAAAATGTATTGACTTTTGGAAATTCTTTTTAATCGTTTGCGCATCAAGAATTGTGTACGTTAAAGTTGCTGAATGGTCGTCGTTCGTATGAATCATATTATCGATTCTAGTTTCACACACAAAATTATCTAATCCTCTCATCCACACCCATAATCAGGTGCACAGGGCACAGTGTCTTAAATTTATTTCTTTTTCTCCTTTATCTTATCTTACTCCTTTACCTTTCTTTTCATATTATCTTTGCCTTTTTTTATTTATTTTTTCTTCCTTTTTTCTTTTGCATCTTATCTTTCCTTCATTTTGCTTTCTGTTCATCTTTTTATTTTATTTTTTCTTTCCTATTATATTATCTATTCCTTTCTTCTATTTCTTTTGTCTGCCTGTCTTTGCATCCTTTCTTTCCTTTTGCATTCTATTTATTTTTTCATTTCTTATATTATTTACAGATATTCTTTCTCAAGATTTATTTTCACTTCCTTTGTTTTCAAGTTACCACACACACGAATACATAGTTGTCAAAAATAGAACAACGGTGTAATTATAGAACAGAGGTATCTCAATGAACAATTAATTCACACATTCAAGTTCTGGTAATTTCCAATATGAACATGTCTGCAAATTGAAGGGGAATGATTGTAAAATAATTTTCGGTGACAACCGCTCTTTGGGGAATTGAGCAAGTTGTGTCAACACGTGTCTCCGATGATGTTCAGTAGTGAGAGAATGCTTCTTGCAGTCATTGTGTCATTAATCAACGTATCCCTTGGCATGTAGATAGTTCACAAGAATCGTGCAGACATGTACAGAAGTAGAATTTTTGTCTTTATATTTCATATCAAGTACACTCTAAATAATTCAAGTAAATTAAAGGATAAATAATAAATATATCTATACATGTATAGTCTAAGATGACAGAAAAATAAAAATAATTAGTCAATAACTTATTAATAATTAATAAAGTAATTTTGACATCCATGTGGGGAAAATGGTATGATTATGTACAATTTGGTAAAAAATTTGAATTTTTTATGCATTTCTCTAAATTATTACTATTATAAATGTTTTAAATATATAAACTAAATCACATAACTTTATAACTATTATTTGAAAAGTAATGTTCATACACAAATAATCTATAAATGTTATTGCTTTTGACAAATAATGTGTCTTTCACCAGTTCTTTTCTATTTATATATTTGCCATATGTTATAAACATGCAAATGAAGCAATCACATCTCAAAAAGCAGAGGTGCTACAGTGTTGGTTGGACAGATTGTAATAAAATTATTAGAAAAAAAATTTAAGGCGAGATGTACTTTACAAAGCACTCATTCAATAACTACAATTGGTATTCCGCTAGATCGTGATGCATTATAGTTAAACCACAAACGAACACAGAATCCATCTATTTTAAATATTGCAGACTGTCATAAATAAAATTATCGACAAAAAATAAAAAATAACCAGAAACGAATATTACAGAATCTATCTATTTTAAATATTTATATCTATAACTATTTTAAATATTTATATTTGTAACTAAGAACCAGATGACAATTTCTCCTTATTGTTTAAGTAGTTGCTACAGTAGCAGTGATTTTGTAAACGGATCTAATGACGACCATGTGTGTTCCGAAGAAGACGGCTACTACAACAGTAACATCAAAATTATAGACCCGTCTCTCGTCGCACCTGGTGTCAAATTGCCCTGGATGCAGTCTAAAGAGGAGCCAACACCATTTATCAAGAAGTAATTAACAGAAGATCTTGCCAAATTTAAGTTTTTCTTTTAGTCTTCAAAATTCTGATATAGTGTTCGAACCAATAGTCGGGATTGGAAGGCATACAACTTTACCACACGCTTATACCCCATTCAGACTAGCATGGCATTGCGATCGGTTGTAGCAATTGCAACACCCAATTGCAAAGTAAATCATGTGTAAAAGCTACCAATAGTAGTCGATAAGTAATCAATATCGCAATTATTACCTGTTGCGATTGGGTGCTACATTCTTTATTACTCCCGATTACCACGGAATCCGACCGCAACGAATCACGACAAATTGCACAGGCACTGTTTGGCTAAGGTCGGGCAACATAGGCCTAGCTACCGGAGGCCTAGGCCTTAGAATGTAAAGTTTGTTTGTGTTGGTCTGAATGCGTTTGTTAATTGCGATCAGGAGTAATCAGTTTTGGACTAACACCGATGACATCGCAACCAATCACAACAGAGTGTAGTCTGAATAGGGTATTAGTTTCTGGATCCCAATAGTTCAGTTTACATACATTTTGTCTTAAAAGACTAAATTTAGAATTATTTACAGCTTTTTTTTTATACAACATCATGATGGCTTTATTCTTTAATCTATCAATAATGATGGATTTACTATTTATTCTGAGCATAACCTTCTACGATATGCTATCACATTCATTGTACAGTCTTAAATTCTTTTTCCATCTCAATTTGTCCAAACATCAGTTCAGGAAATGAATCTATAATGTTTTCATATCAAATTAACAGATGTAGAGTCGGATTTCTGATATAGACATCAAATAAATATATGTATACACGCACAAAACAAGCATTAAAAAAATAAGCACATACACAGACAGGCAAAAAGATACACAATCAGTAGATAGAAGATTTACAAGGAACACAGCAGATACAAACATTTCTCTTTTTCAATAGTTTTGCCTGTAGGAACCAACTGTATCATGTATTTCTTGACGTTAAGAGGGTGCACTAATATCAGCCTTTCAGTTATAAAGAGCTAAATGGTATATCCTTGTTAATATTGTTTTAATAAAAATCTTAAAATAAATACTAAGGAGAGAAATATATATTCGTAAAAAGAAACACAGTCCATGCAAAACAAGAAATAAACAATCAAGAAGAAAAGACTAATTCCCTAGCTTTATCGTAAAACATACAAAGCTCCAATTGAGTTAAAAGCTTAAGTCAATTGTAATTAATAATACACTTGGTTATACTGTATAAATTAAAAAGAGTTGCAATATTTGTTAGTTTGGTTTCATTGTTGAAAATTTGAATTCTGATGATACCTAATGATAGCCCTTTTTCTGAACTATTATGGAAATTAGTAATATTGTACTGAAATTGAATTTCAAATAAATGAAGAATGAATTTAAAATAAGCTCATTCTAATCAACTCAGATGAATAGAATATGTTTCAACTGATTGAATATTTGAACTCTGTCGAAAGTACAGAGCCTTCTGTGAGAACCACATTAACCAGGTAGTTTAAAATCTACCGAGGTGAAATCTAATCGAAAAAACAGTTGACAACAAACTTGATAGGATGGATGATGTTGTTTACCAATTGTTATTCACATCAAATTCAATATTTCTAGCATGATATCGTATAACAAAGAATTCAGTGTAACTTGATCAAAATCAGCACTTAATGCTGGCAGGATGATGGCCTTTTGATCACGGTTTGTGTACGCTTACTATCGATGGCTTTTAGAAATAGGAGTCAAGACCAATAATCTACACGTTATTTCACAGATGTAAGCGTATATCTCGTTTCTAGTGTGTGCTGTCTTGCCATTAGCTCACAGAGAACCTTACGTTGGGATTTTTTAAATGTATTTTAGGAGTGACTATCTCCATTAAAAAAGAACATGCAACATATGAATAATATAACAGAGTTTCTTTGACTCCTTATATGCTGGTGATTTTCACTATGACTTTTAAAATTTTCATTTTAAATACTCTTCTCATTTTGCATTTGGAAGTACTATGATATATTTAAAAAGCACAATAATAAACCATTTTATAGTTCTAAATCGCATATTTATGTCAAATGTCCATACGAAAGTGCATAAAATAATATATTTACAGACTTTACTAAAATCATGCTTTATACTCCAGAAGGATATAAGCTAATAAGCTTTAAGTGGCTGTTTTATTTATGTTATTCTAGACTAGAATCTTAGTCTAAAATTGAGTTTGGTTATTTTTTAATTCTGTTTTACTCTAGCCCAATCCAAAATTTAACAAAATATACAACCATCCCAATAAAAAATGAATTACCATAATATATCCTAGTGAACACAAAAATGTCTGTCACAATTAACTATACTGCACCAATCAATAACACATCTGTGTGGGAGGAGGGGGAGGGGAAGCAGATGGTAGGTAAAGCGCATGACCCCAAAAAAGCTAGACATTCCCACATTGAAAATATAATGAGCAAAAAACTACAGTCAAGTAGTTAAAATTACTTGATTATTATCACCTTATTTCTTCAGGTAGCGCCCCCCCTCCCCTCAATTAAGACCCATACCCCATTAGCCCCCTAGTGTGAATACTCGTAGATAATCTACAGGCCTTAATTACGCACACATCATCAACATTCATTATTTTCTCATTATCCTACAAGCAGCTTGTAGGATAGTGATCTCCATGTGTATAATTATATTCTTAAAATAATACAATGTAATATAATGATTTGTACAACACATTTCCATGGTGATTGGAGCACTTCACAAATAGACAAATCCATCAAGGAAGTGTGAGAACTTACCTCACCAAATCCACCTTTGCCAAGCACTCGGTACTGTCTGAAGGTGTTCTTAGTGGCCGGTTGGCTAGAAAATGAGAATGAGTATTAAAGTAAGATTAGCAAACTCAACCAGGGATGTACAGGGCCACCCAGCCTTAAGGTTTTTATGGCCCTCCACACATCTTTTTTAACCTCCTTGCCCATCTTAAAAATCCACTGTTATCTCTTACTATTTTAAAGTTCATTAATGTTATCACCCACCCACCCTTAAAATGTCTATCATCCAACCTTAGTTTTCTACAGCTACAACTTTGTTACGCTACAACTTCGTTACAGTACCATATATTTGTATTCAAATATTTTCATTATATAATTGGGCTAATGTGTAGTATTTATATGTAAAAGTCAATGAATTTTGTTAATATGTAATTATAAATAGTATTCTACTACTGTAGGTGAAATATTTGTATGCAGTAGTTTTATTGTGATACAAGCAGTTTTGGCCTTGTGCTATCTTTTTTTGTACTTTTTATAACATAATTAACATAGACAATTGAAAGAACATAAAGACAATGCACAATTAGACACGTATAAAATTCTAAATCATAGATATACTTACCTGTATGTATGCTACAATACTACTAGTCAAATTTTAGTAAAGGTACAAGGTAAACCTATTTACCAGATGCGTTAAATTGAATGTTTTTTTTTACACCCCTATTAGAGGACACTTTTTCGCCCTTGAAACGAACTTTAAAACTATAGCCAACCCCTATTCAGGGGATACTTTTTTTTGGTCCTGAGAGTATCCCCTTAATGGAGGTTCCACTGTATTTGCATGCATGTCTAGTGTATAATTGATATTAATCTGTATATATATAAATGGATTTTTATACATGCATGTACAGTACGTACATATAAAGTTTGTACAACCTATGAAAAAAGGAAATGCACGTATAACCTAAAGATGTCTACAGGCATTAAAAATAAGGATACCACTTACTTCTCCAAATACTTCCACTGTAAAAACCTTGAATAGTACATACTTGATTTGTATTCCCTAAACGGCTCACCCATTAAATATTCACGTACAATTCTGAAAGGAAGATAGTGGAAATATATACAGTTGAACTTGCCCAAGTCGAAATCCAAAATGCCATTGAAATATTGTTCGACTTAGATAAATTTCGACTTGAATATCCCAAATAGTGACTTCATTCATTAGTAGAAATATATATCCCAAAGAGCGACTTCATTCAGTCATTGGTTATATTCAAATGATTCGGTCCCTGAGTGGTCACACGGTTTGTTGAAATGGTAGGTCACATGAATCCCTCCTAAGTTCTCAAATGATTCAATTTCGTAAACCAAAATATTTTTTTTAGCATAAAAGATTGTGCTTCAATTAGGCAAAATGTTTTGGCAATACGTAAGTTGATATCCGATTATGATATAGCCACTCGCTACATCAATGGGTGGCTGGATATTATTCAGGCAGAAAAAATATCTCACTCTGTATAACATAATGCTACAGCAAAAAGTTAGCAGAATAACCCATTACTCGCAGCGTCATTGTGCTAAATTGCATATGGGTGTGGTCCATAACTACTGTAACAGCCGTAGTAGAGAGGCACTTACAGTAGTAGCTTCATGTTCACACCATTCCACAATGACAGAATCATTCTTAAGAGGGACATCTTGAGCTCAGGGTAAAGAAAGAGATGTCTTAAGCTGAGGGAAAATGGACATCTTGAGCTGAGGGAAGAGGGACATCTTCAGCAGATGGAAAAGGGACATCTTGAGCCGAGGAGAGGGATTCTTGATCTGAAGGAAGGACATCTTAAGCTGTGGGAAAAGGAACATCTTGAGCTAACGGAAGAGGGATGTTTTGAGCTGAGGGAAAAGGGACAACTTGTACTGAGGGAAGAGGAACATCTTCAGCAGATGGAAAAGGGACATCTTGAGCTGAGGAAGGAGGGGCATCTTGAGATAAGGGAAAAGGGACATCTTGAGCTGAGAGAAGAGGGATTCTGATCTGAAGGAAGGACATCTTAAACTACGGGAAAAGGGAAATCTTGAGCTAAGGGAAGAGGGATGTCTTGAGCTGAGGGAAAAGGGACAACTTGAACTGAGGAAAGAGGGACATCTTTAGCTGATGGAAAAGGGACATCTTCAGCTGCAAGAAAAAGGGGCATCGTGAGCTGAGGGAAAATGGACAACTTGAACTGAGGGAAGAGGGATTCTTGAGCTGAGAAAACAGGTTACAGGGCTCTCAAGTTACAGCTAACTAACAGTGAAATAAAGTTCATCAGAGTTCGTATACTTCATGAAGTAAACATGTTCAGTGTGGAAAATTGACATATTCAATTCCAGATATCATAACGTCCCTGCAATGTTTATATTCTATTACGACATTATTATCACATTTTGTTCTTCAAAAATAATAATGCTAAGTAAGAAGATGTGAAAATGCTGATGAGTTTTAAATTATAAAACAAATTGGATATCCATCCAGCATATCAATCAATTTTTTTTTTATTGTTGGTATTAAATTGACTCAAATCTCATGATATTTAATAGCATCACATATTAAAAGTAATCCAACCCAACTAATATTTCCTCCGCCTACAACATTCATTTAATTTGACCCCTACAAGATCAATGCCCCTTGTCTCTATAGTTCTTTTAGTGCATTTCCCTTCTGCAATTAATTTTTTTTTTTTTTGGTCATTATGACCTTACCGGAGTAATGTCCTCCCCCTAGATGCACAGTTTGATTAGGGTAGTGTATGCGGGTCACTAGGACCTTAGTGGAGTAACTTAATGCATAGTTTTTAATAGGCATATGGGTTTTTTTTTTTTTTTTTTTTTTTTGGTTCTCTGTATTTTACTGGTTTTTTTTTTAGTTTTTTGTTTTTTTTTATGGATAATAGCCCTTGATGTCTTAAGTAGCAATAAAAAAAAATCTGAATTGAAGTTTAAGTATACCTCAAAACAATAACATATCAGAAGAATATAATTACTTTGCTTTTTGATGTCAATTTGTTTGAATTTATAACCCACACTTATATTAGAGATTGTCTTGTGGTGGGTAAATCCCATAAAAATATACAAATAAAAACATGAAGTATTGTTTACACCAAGCCACATTTGTACTAATGATGGTGACTGGTAACCAGCAAAACTGTTTACAACAAGTCAGCATTAATCAGGTTTTACTCTAGATTTTAATGAAGAGATGGGATCTGATGTGACTAAATAACATGCAAACCAACATAATAAGGCATGATTTATGTACATGTTTTAAATCTGTAAAAGATATATAGATTTTTATGTCAACTATCATCATCAATCACCCATTACCATATTCATGTCAGAATTTACACATCGAAAACTCTGTAAAACACATGCACTGCCCAAGTGCTATCAATCATTATATCGAATAACAAGTAATACTTTAGCCCAGTTTTAATTGTAACTCTCTTCCACCCCTTTTGACTATCATATATACATCATTTTTTCCAGTCTTAATTATACATGTCTTGCAGCACTTCCAAATGTATGCAGGTCCAGTTTCCCCATTCCTGATTGTACATCTTGTACACTTCTTCCTAATGGACAAAAGCCAGTTGTCCCTGATCCGGGTATACATCTCTTGCATCCCTTCATAATGTTTCCAGTTTAGTTTATTTCGTTTGTGACTGTACATCCCTTGAACTCTTGCTAATTAACATATATCAGTCCAGTTTTTCCAGTACTGACAGCACATCTCTAACACCCATTCCTAATGGCATGGCTAACACCCATTCCTAGTTTTTTTTAGGTTTGCCAGTTCAGTTTATTTACATCTCTTGAACTCTAGCTAACTAATATATGGAAGTTCAGTGTCCAAATTCTTGATTGCACATCTCCAACACCCATTCCTAATGGCCACAGTCCAGTTTCCTCCGATACGATTATACTCTTATGCCTTCTTATGATCAGTCTAGTTTTTTCCTGCACCGACATTCTCACACTCCTTATTAACAGCTAAAGCCCTATTTTTACACCTCTCACTGTACAAATTCTATCCCCCCCCCCCTTCAAATTAGGCCACAGTTCATTTCCAAACCTTCTTTCCTCAGATGGAAAAGGGTGTCATAAAACACTGGTTGACAACAAAAAATGTAGTCTACGTAATATGAATAGATGAATTTCACTGCTTGGTGGATTACACATAATATTTGTGAATAATATACTATGATCTCAGATCTCAATTTTCTAGTGATATTATTCAATTCAATCCATCCTTTACAGATTTTACTTAGAGTGATTGATTTGAATTTGTAATGAGTGATGGCAACCACTGTTTAGGGTTGCAAAATTTGTAAACCAGATATTCACTTTGTATCAATCTGTTATGGTGAATAATTAAATTGCTATAACTTTTATTTTATTAGACTTGCCTGTAGTTCTTTAGTTCAATTTTTGTGTTTTACAGGCTGCTTGAATCTGTTTGCTTCTGTGATTATATAAGGCATGATATCATGACATACTATTGGGTCAACCAATTAATTTTATAGCATATCTTATTGTATTTTAATTATGAATAAATTTTATAATGAATGTATATATTTCTAATTGATAAGTTTTAGTCAATCTTAAGTCAGAATTGGCTTGTCTTTATTAAATTAAGTGTATAACATATGCTGGATTTTTTGCATAGACCAAATTCTGTCAATTCATCAAAAACATTCCTTATGGCAACAACCACTTAGCTTCAGCACTTATTAAAAATCTGTTTCCCTCCTCATGGTTCGAGCTGTGACTGCACATCTCCCTTGCAGTCCACACTTCTGATAGCTTCAGATTCTTGATGGCCCAGCCTCGTGACGGCCCTCAGATTCCCGACGGCACCAGGCTTTCAACAGACCCAGAATCCTAACAGCTCAAGACTCCACATGGCCTCAAGTTCTACATGGCCCTAGGCTCCTAATTACCCCACCCAATCAGAGGGATCTAGAGATGTCAGATAGAGAGAGGGGCTGAAAATTGGGGCCGATTAAGACAATACTACCTGAGGGGGTACGGGGCATACACTCACAAAATTTTTGTTTTCTAGGTGCCCGAAAATAACCTTTGAGGCGTTATGGGTGATCATTATTTTTCTTTCTTTTTTTTTTTTTACTTTCTAAAAGGTGGCCTACTGCCGGCCCGGGCCTCCCCCCTAAATTCACCCCTGCAGATGCTACTAGCCCTGCCTTCTGATACCTTACTTACACTGCATAATGATGGAACAGCTCTTTACTAGGCGAATCATTAGAATTCAAAGCACCTTCACAGTGATCTGTGTTCTCCTCAACCAAAGGCGCTAGTCTGTTGTTACCCTGTAAGAAACAAATTAAGTTATATTACTATTTTCTATTATTCCTGTGTAAAGCTCAAAGGCAGTGTGCACTATATAAATCTAACATTATTATGAGACAGGTGGTATCGTGATGTAAGACTGTAGTACTCTATGCAAAGCAGGTTATAAATTAACTGCCCAATCATAGAACTTGGTCACAGGACAATTTAAAAATGTTGTAAATGTAAACATGCTTGCAATCCATGTAGTAGTTTCCACTGATGCAGTGCTTGCATGCCATTGCCAATTAGAGTAAGCATTCATCCGATTGGTTTATTTTATTGGTGTAAAATGGATACATTTATACTCAAATAAACGGCCCTTAATTTCACTATAAATGTGGAACTGGCAACACATAATTACCGCCAAAATGTTTTATTCCTTGATCATAAAGACTGATGAGTTGAACATTTATAGAATGTGTTGAGATTTTGCTTCCATTAGATTTGTTTACAGTCATTTGGGGGGGGGGGGGGGGGGGGCATTTATTTAAAGAAAAGAATAAATATCTTGAGGCATTTATTCTAGGGAGGTATTTATTCCAAGTGAGGCTCTAGAGAGTTTATTCGAGGAGGACGTTTATTCAAACCACATAACCTAAATGGGACAGGCTACAAATTCTGTACTTGACTGAAAGTAAGCTCAGAACCAGATAGATTACTGTATATGTTATTTTATTTTCTTGTTTACAATGGTAAAAATGGCCTGTTAGATTGGGCGTTCAAATATTCATTACCAAGCTAAAAAAAAAACTTTAAACGTTGTTTAAAACAATTGCGACCAGCAACATGAATATTAGGAATCTTAAATGGATGTTCTTAATTTACAGCAAATTGTTATTCATATCAGCATCTCGGCCTCACTCCCAACTCTAACCATAAGAATCTAATACGTACTATATTTTGTGATACATATCTGTTTCAAGTGCAGTCATTTGTAATTCATGAACTGATATATATTCAAAATGAAGATCCAGTGTATCACAAAATTAATCTAAAATATAAAATGCAACTGAAATTATGATTACAGGAATGAATAATATAAAATAAAAAAATGCTGTTCTAATAAATTACTTGTTTTTCAAAAGGACTCATTGAATCAATTATGGATTTTATAAAATATATATTTTTATATATATTTGTTTGATATTTGATTCTTTGTCAAAAACAATATAGTAATCAAAATCAAATACATTTGATTATGATATTCAAGGTGAACAAAAAATATATTGTATTTGTAGTTAGTTTTAGATTAAGTGATACGTTTAATGGTTTTTAAAGGGATAATTTCCCATTGTTGGCTTCCACCTTAATTTGTTTTGTGAGAAAATAAAATTATGAATATTTTTTGTGCATATTTTAAATTCTGCTTTGTGTTCTCTGTCTTCGCTGGTTTATTGTCGCTAAGTTAGTGAGAACTTTTTGTTTTTTTTGTAATTGTCTATTATTTGTTGTTTATAAAAACTTGTCCCTTCTTTGTTTGACAGATCCTTCTCATTTTTTAAAATGACTTGTCAATGTTAAAACTGGAAAACATAAACATGTTGATTGATTTATTGAATTTATTCGTTGCTCAACATGCTCAACACAAAAAAAATAAAAAAGATTTGAGAACAAGAAAAGTAAAAATTAATGAGCATCAGGAGCGTCCATTAGGCCGGAGTCCAGCCCATTTCCAACGGGGTCCAAAATTGCACACCAAAAAATTAAATTTAAAATCATTAATATTTAAAATTTAAAAAAAATAATAATTTAGGACATAGTTCATATTTATACTATTTTACTTCAGTTGTGTTATCTCTAAAAACAGTAAAGAATGCTTATTTTGAAAAACAAAATTTATGGTTTTTGTTTGGTATTTTATCTTAGAATTGCCTCAAAAGAAATAGACTTTTCATAACTTATAATTTCAAAAAGCATTTATTCCGAATGTTTGCTCTTGACGAGCAGGTGCTTATTAATAAGTACGCTAGAATATTTTTATGAACTGTCAACAGTGAAATGTGGGAGATATTAAAAGGGTAATACAAGCCATAGCTTCAATTCATATCATATTTATTAATATCAACATTGTAATCATCAATGCCATTGAAAAACGTGAACACAGAATATGAATGAGCTTCGATCATTTACCTATAGTGAACACTTCCTTCAACTCGCAAGTCACAATCCCACATTGGGTGTTAAATCAAAAATGGTCTCAAAATAGTAAATAAGTACTCCACGTTGACTTATTAATCCTAAACTTTTCAAAATCATGCTTTAACTTGCGAAACATGAGCAAAAATAAGCAGATCATCAAAATGGTTCTAACTTTCAGAGGAAATGATTTAGTGAGAGACTAATGGAACTGAATCAATGAACATTAATTATCTAATTAAGTTATTTTTGGAACCCTCATTTGCAAATCTAATCATTTTTAGCATCGAGACTGCACATCATTGTCAATAATTGATCAAGCTCGAACACTCAGCCACTGAAAAATTACTACTGAACGCGGCGGCAGCTATGTTTATAGTAGCCATAGTTACACAGTAGAAAGCTTTCATAATCATTAGCTTCAGCTGTTAGTGATAAGGAATAAGCTCATTCAGGGGCATAAGCAATCATTATATAAATAGCATTGCTAATAATATCCCTATATGCTTACAAAAGCAGAAGAAAAGCCAGGAAACCAGAATCAACATTGCTCTCTTCGGCACGTTTGATGGTAAATAAAAATTGGATCAATTTTTCATGAGACAAACACGCATAAAATCCTGCTGAAACCAAAACATCCTTGTAATAGATACCTGTTTCTAAGTCTGGTCAAGGCCTAAAAGTTTGCACGATGGTTATCGTTGTGAAGATAGAAAAAGAGAGCTATATTCTCCCCTTAAAAAATATGGATATGGAAACATGGGTTGTTTGGTTCTATGTATAGTATTGAAATGATGTAAGGTTGTAAGAGCTCATTAAAAAGATTAATTGGATCCAAATTTACTAGACATGTAGTTCTGCTTTTATGATCCAAAATATATCAAGATGTAACATATTACTTATCGTGCATATTGATATATTTTGATTCATAAAATAATACTACATACCTAGAATGATGTAAAGGTTGCGTTATTAAAGTTTCAGTGAATTCAATGATTTAAGGCTTAAAAATCATTCCTGTACCCTTGATTTTAATAATCTTAATATCTTCATAAATACATATCTTTCAGTTTGCTGACACTGTTAAAACTAGAGCGTCTTAAAGAGATAATTACTTCAGATTGAGTATAAAAAGTAACAAGGAAAAGATCAATCGTATCTGTGAGAAACACATGGTCGGAAATGATATTTCAATGGCAACTACTGCAGAACCTATTCAGAGTAAGCGAATTACTTTCTCTAATGTTGATAAACTATTACAGTCTATTGATTTCTGTCCACAATAACTCACAAGCAGCCGTTGACAAGTTCGGTCTAAGCACACTATTTCCTGGCTGGTTCATATTATATCACATTTCACGGACCTTTGAAAGCATGAAAACTTTGGGCTTCTGTGTGTAGCAGGGGGGTATGGCGACATAAGGTGTATTAGCCAGCAGGTGATCTCCAAAAAAACTTTATAGCAATATTCCATAAAATACATTGAAACTAAATTACATGAAAAAAATCCTAAAAATTCCTACATTACGATAATATGGAGTACTGTGTATATTTACCTGTAAAAGTGGTTTGGCGCATTGGGATGGTTTGGTTTCCCAACCTCGAGGCCATGGATTTAATCCTTCACTGTATATTTCGTTTGTGTCCGTGAGCAAGGCACTTTATTTACATTGCTTCAGTCTATCCAGCTGCATCAATGGGTACCAGCAAATTACTGGGAGTAACCTATGGACGACCAGCGTCCCACCCAGGGCAAGTATCACACTCACTCCCTGAGGATAAGCTCCAGATTTATGATTCCTAGTGGCTCGGCAAAAATTTACTTTATATATTAACCTAAAAATCTTTTGCAAATACTAATAAAACCTAGGAATTGTTAATTTTATATATAGCTTCAATGTAACTTTTCATACAAACCTTAAGATAATTGGAATAAATGTCCTTTGCTTTCTCTGTCCTAACTTCTTTTGCTGAAATTTCATAAAGATCCTAAAAGAAAATTATATTTTAAAAATTATCAGAAAGGAACATTTAACAATAGCACCCATAACAAATAATTCTCATAAATTATCATACATTATAACATAAATTATCATATGTTATCCTAAAATTTTCATAAATCATCATACAACACATTTCCATGAATTATCATATAAAAAAATATTATAAATTATAATAAAGCTCCAGCCACCAGAAGACCTCACTTACTATCTCCAGACTTGCGGGAATAAGGGTTATATTTGGAACCACTGGAAAGCAAAGAGTATAAAACTGCAAGAGGTCCGACTGCTCTGATTTTGTATACAGCAAGGTATGCAGGCAATGGAACGCTAAAAGTACTGCCACGAAATACGGGGCACCCTACACATAATTTAGAAACTTGTACGCATTGCTCGAATCTTTTAAAGGCCACGCCCCTTTGTGGAAGTACTTCTTGCATTCCAACGAATCCCCGGCACTCTGACGAAAGGAAGCACCAACCACATAATGACTTTCTAGCATCCAAAAAAAAAGCATTAAAAAAAAAAGCATTAGAACACTTTTTGAACAAATAATTACTTACAACTTGATCTAAGAATGATATTATTTTACACAATTCTGGTTTTGTTTTGCAGAACATCCTAAAGAGCTTCTTCCCGATTGGCTGTTGCTCACATATACTAGTAAAGTTATCATCTGGGGAAGAGGAAAGAATAATAATTAAAAGCATTTAAGATTATATACCAAACATAAAAAATCATTTCATAATATATTTTGTCATGTGTCCATAGCATATTGTATAATAGAACGAGTCAAATAGCCGAATGCTGTAGTTAAGCCAAGGGCACCACAACACATTGCCATAATATCGGCATTGGTTGAAATAGCACATTTGCTTATGGTTCTGGTGGTTGAACAAATCTTCTTGAATAAGAACTATAAATTATACATAATACGAAGTCCAATGTACAAAATTTGGCTCGTGTGCACTTTACAAAACCCTGTACTGTACATCGTTCAAGATGAGTAAGGGGTTTCTCGGATGTACAGGCTTATACACCGCCTGTTGAGGACAGACAAGTAGCTGGTACCGATTTACCTGGTAGCTCAAAGAGACCATAAGGGAGAAGCAAATTAGTGTAAGAGCAACTTCAGACCTAGCGCTTGGAGACTATAAAACTAAAGCGCTATAAATCCAACATAACACATGAAATATGGTTAACCTTTACAAAAATGATAGGTTAATTATCCTAAACTGTGTGAAAAATAATAAATGGATAATTTTTTAAGTCAGATGCTACAGAAACCTGGCAAAACAAAATGATGATCACTCATGAAACAAATGCAGATATCTGCACAACCTTGCACTGAATTGTGGGTAGCAACATAGTAAATCTTAAAAAACAATAATAAACTAAAATGTTTGCTTCTGTCTCCTAAGGGGGCAGCAAACAACTCTTGTCCGAATGATGACCTTCTAATATATTTGTCAGCTCATTTTTAAAAACTACATTAAGTTCATCATGAAGTTACTGAAATACATACTGCACAGAATCGAACAGAAAAATTTTGAAATATATGTAAATCTTATTTCATAGTATGATGTAGAGAAATAAAATTTAAAAGAATAACATCCTCGGCATTCACATTAATTGCCATATTATTTAGCATAATTGTATATTATGTAGTATTACATACAAAGATTTTCTTTTACGCTCAGGAAGTTTCAGAAACTTTTTCTGGACCTTGACCTTTGACCTATTTACCCCAAAAATTAATCAACTCTTCTTTAGATCAATATGTACCACTCCGGTAAATATTATGGTAATCCATTCATGAATTTTTGCATAATCCTGCTAACAGACAGACAGACCGACTGACAGTGATGGATGCATAACTCCTTGGCGGAGGTAATCAGATATCGGTACCGGTAATAAAATGCTGACATCATTTTGCACTTAACCTATGAATTTTATTAGTGTGTACTTCCAATACTACAGTGCAATTATCATACAAAAAGTACTTCCTCATAGCATACTTTATATTTTCAACAAACTTTGCAAAACAATTGAAATTACTAACAAAAGTACAGAAGTTTACAAAAGATGTTATTGAAACATCAATAGCCAATGGCTAAAAAAAGGCCAAGCAAAAAGTGTTTCTTTGTGTTCAAATCTTGATACAGTTAAATCCAAGATTAATACAGACCAAGAGATCTAATCAGAGTAAATTTATATGTAAACTTAAATATATAGGTATAAATCAACTGGGCTTCCAACAATCAAAGTTTATATTTTGTGAGGATGTTTTTTTTAGTTCTACAGCATACAGGATATATGCATATAGCAATAAAATTCTATTCCCCTGGAGAATGTACTTGCCTTTGTTCATATCATAGTAATGGCTAGGGACTTTAGGGCATTAAATGTAGGCATACGCAAGTTAACTTCATATGTCTACAACTACAAGTGGCCTACAATAGTGCGTTCACTCTGCAGTCTGAACTGTTACATGTTACGGCTAGAAGCTGTGTTACAGATGTCAAGGAAAGCAACGAAAAAGGAGCCAAGTAAAACAGATAAGTTTTCTTGTTTAAAATACTTCCTGAATGCCGTACCCAATTGACGTCATTGGCTCCAATGATCAATGCCTCCATTTCTATTCACTGAGTCAACACAATGCCGATAAATCAAAGAAATTTAATAGAGAAATCAACCTCAATGAATTCACAGGTTTAAACACTCTCAATATCATACTCTGCCTAGACTCAACCAAATCAATCTATAACAATATGCATATTGTACTATATAATAATAATAATAATAATAATAATAATGTGTGTATTGTAGTATAATTTTGCCATGTTCATTCATTATACATCTTAAAATTCTATTTTTAGAAAATGAAATCATACGATATATAAGAACCAACACCAGGAACCACTCGTAGTTTAACAGAAATCTTTGACATCATGTTCATAAAAAATTATAGACATTTTCAAATGAGATCCAACTAGTTGCAGGGTTACAAAGGATGAATAGTAGACATTTTTAGGCTTGGTAGGTGATAACATTGATAATCTGTGGATTTTAAGGAAGGGCAAGCAGGTCAATAGAGGTGGGTGGAGGGCCATGAAATTGGCTTTAGACTGGGTGGAAAAATTCAAGGCTGGGTGGCCCCCACCCACCATAACTATATTCCTGTTTAGTGGAATATAGGGAGGAGAAAAATATATTACACCATAAAAAGTAACTGTAAAGTAACTGAGGCTTTCAAAAGATAAACTAATGTGACACTGGCTAATGGAAAAAATGAGAAAAACAATTTGCTTTATAAAAAATAAAAGTTGAAACTGAGACCTTCATGATGAGACAAATTTATGTTGCTAGCTAAAAAAGAGAAAAATAATTTATTCTATAAACAACTTTAAATGAGGCCCTAATGTTGAGGTAAACTACGATGACCAACTGGTGTGGCTTGCTGAAAAGATGAGAAAACAATTCACCTCAAAATGACGCTGTAACTGCACTGACATGGGAAGTGAAACCGACAAACACTAGAGAGTACATCACTTGAATGATAAATAAATTTTGTAATTTGATGTTTTGCTTAGCAGCTATAAAGGCGCAAGCTCGGTGGTCTAGAGGTATGATGCCAGGCTAGTGATCTGGAGATCTTGGGTTCGAGTCCCACCCGAGAACAACTTGCGATTTTTGAATAATACATGCCATACATGCGTAATACATTAAAATGTATGCATAATCATTAAGATATAACCATAAGGGACAACAATCAGGTGTTTATTGTGTGAGCTAGATTTAGGTGATTATGCAATCGCAATTAAGTAATAAGTTACGGTATTATTCTGTCCCTCTTAAATCCACAAGCCTTCTAGCACTAACTTATTCATACAAATTAGTTTATTTATCAAGGACAATTAGTTGCATTATTTAGCTGTCAAATTTTGTTTGTAATTGTCCATGCTTAGAAAACTATCTTATTAACAAGCCTGCTCAATGAAACATGACTAATTACATATTCTATTCAAGATTAATTTTGTTACATAATTTTATCTTAATCAATGAATGTAAAATTACAATTAAAAATATAGTTCCTAAGTAATGTTCATTTTGTAATTACTCCATCAGTAAGCATTCTACCCACCATGCAATAATGTATCTACAATATAAATTGGTCTACTTGTATAGTGTATTCCTCTTTGAATATTAACAAATAGAATAAATTAATAGGAACTGAACTACATATTAAACTACTCAGGCTTTAAGGTTTAAATTTGTTAAACTGAATGTTGTGGCCTTGAATTTTAATGCTGTTCCACATAAAGATTCATGTAGTATAATATTGGTAATGACGATAATAATAACATTTATTGATCACCGAGTTATACTTACCGTTTAATGTGAGTGCCTTTGCTCGTTTCTAAATCTCATTTCATATCTTTGGTCAAACGTAGCATAAATATCATGTACTTTAAAAAATAGATGATAAACTCTCTCTTAAATTGTTCTTATGTGTCGATTGCATGCACAGTGGCAGATCCAGAAGTGGTTCAGTAGATTTCGGATGAAACCCCACTCCACCCGTGATGAAATGTAAATAAAAAATACTGCAGTTGGCCGATTCAAGGGGCCCAGGCTACTTTTATAACCAAATTTATGTCTGAGAGTGCTATTTCCATTCATCTAGATGTGTGAATCATAAATTTTCCTACCAGTACCTCAGCCCATAACCACGGTGGGACTGAGGTGGTCTGGACCCTCCATTTGTGAGCCCCCTCTATTTCAAATTCCTGGATCGCCACTGTACCGTACTGAGTCCTGGCATACAAAAGGCATGCTAAACTACTTAGGCGTAAGCGACAGATTGGAATGGCTAGGCTTAGCTAGCCTTCAATTAAATAACATAAAGTTAAAAAACACTGTTTTGGTTCGACCATGCTTATTATAACCAGAGCCTGAATTCAAACTATACAGTACTTGATTTAGCAAGATCTCTTTTTTGGGATCTTCGAAATAAAATACTAAATTGTCTATGTGTTTGATTTTTTTTTCTGTATGCATAGACACATTAATATGCCTAATTATTTAAGAATGAGATAAAATCACACGAAGAGGGAAAGACCTTTAATTTTGAAGAACTTAAAAAATTCTTTAAAGATACCTCAGAAAACAGGAATGCTCATTTCTGGCTATCTGGGAATTATCATTGAAGTTTTTTGGAACATCCTTTCTTTTTTGCATTTTTCTGGGACAAATTTTAAACTCCCTTGCTTCAAATTTTAGATACCCCCTCCCCCCAATATATTATTGCAGTTTCTGTATTTTTTGTGTATTGTAAATATGGGAGTTACTAGCTACTTAATCAGGTCTTTTCATAAGCAAAGAAAAGTTAGATTTGCCTATATTTTATTTTAGATTAGCGAGCAAGGCTAAAGTCAACAACATTCTGTGACAATGCTTTATAGAAGTTATTACAAAGGAAATTCTTTTTTACAGTGTAATATAATCACCAAATTGCCATCATTGCCTTCTTATTTAAGTACACATGCCTAGAAACTAGAGGTACATTATACTGACATTGTTTTAAATGTTTACAGAATCTAGAGGGAAGTTCTGCAAACCTCTACCTACGCAAATACTCTATGTACTGAATGTAAACTATTACTACATACTGTA